TATTATATACTATATATTTTTATATTTTATATATTATATATTGTGTTGAAGTGAATAACAAGAACAATATGAGTGTTGGAGACGGGGCTTCGAGAATGTTCTCTTGCCCGATCAAAAGCCTTGAGCCTGCTTGTCGCCAGTGACACAAACAAGATCGGGGCTAATGACCTGCAAAACAATCAGATCAACTCTTATTTTGCCGCAAGTCATTTTGCGAACAAGCAACGGCTCTGCCAAGCACGTCACCTGCGACTAATCAGAGTTCGCCTCGTACGAGCTCGTCTCTACCAGCGACGCGGCTAACGACTATTGGCCGTAGCCAAATTTTCTACCGACACTAACAACGCAATAAATACGCGCTCCGGGCTTTGTTCTTCGCTGATCGCCTCTAGCTTTCCGCAATACCGCTTGTATCCGCTTATGCAAACCGCTATCTCAGTTTTACGCTTTATTTCGACTCTCGCTGTGTTTCTTGGACTTACGATTTATCTCGACCCGCGCTTCTCTTTTCGGACATTCTCTCACGAACTCTGACTTTTTGTATCGCGCCTGAAAGTGAATTTGTGTTATAAACTGTGAACGATGAACTTTGTATTGTGCTTATTTATTAAAGATAACATTTTTTGTGAATTCGACTTGATTATTCGTTCCTTTGGCGAATACACGCTAACGCGCTCTCCAACAATGAGTGATAAAACGCCAGTGTACAATGAAAACAAGGCCGGAAAGGGGAAATGCAGCAATTTGAAGAGACCGAACATTTCAAAGCGGCGGCCGTTGAACCGTTACGAAATGGAGAAGCCTAGTGTCGAGAATGTTGGCACATCGGCTAAAAAATTATCAGCAATCGATCTTGACGATATTGAAGTAGACGAAGGTTTTGGTTACCGAATTTTGAACTTTTTAGCAGTGTTCTCCGCTATATCGCAAGCTGTGGTGTGCAAAAAATGCAAATCTGATGTGACATTCACCGAATCTGGAAAGCGCGGATTGGGATTCAAAATTGTAATTTCATGTCAAAAATGCGACAACATTTATATTCCTAGTTCTTCATTTATTGAAAAAGGATACGAAATAAATCGAAGAATTATTCTTGCTATGCGGCTGCTGGGCGTAGGATTGAATGGAATAATGAAATTTTGCGCGTTCATGGATCTCCCGCGGCCAATTTTCCAATCATTTTATGACAAAGTTGTTCAAAAGATAGCTGTTGAAGCAGAGGCGGTTTGTCAGCTTATTGTTAGTATGAAAAATGCAGCTCGAGAAGAGAAGGAAAAAAGTGACGAACACAAGTGGCATTACTGTATCTGGTGATGGTTCATGGAGAAAACGCGGCTTTTCGTCACTTTTCGGATTCGTATCGCTTATTGGATGGTTTACTGGCAAAGTGGTCGATGTTTTAGTAAAATCCAAATATTGTAAGAGTTGTGAATATTGGAAGAAAAGATCGGATACCGACGAGTACAAGGAATGGGCCGAAACTCACGAAGATGAATGCCAAGCGAACCACGAGGGATCCGCGGGAAAGATGGAAGTCGACGCCGTCATCGAAATGTTCCAGCGCTCAGAATCTTTGCACGAATTGAAATATGAAAATTACGTGGGAGACGGAGATTAAAAAACGGTTAAAGGTATCATGGATTCACAGCCCTATGAAAACTTTACAATTATGACGAAAGAATGCATCGATCACGTGCAAAAGCGAATGAATACTCGCCTTCGCAATTTAAAAAAAAAAGACAAAAGGCCTTGGAGGAAAAGGCAAGCTAACGGGCAAATTAATTGACGAGTTGTCAATTTATTATGGTCTAGCAATACGTCGAAATCATCATTCTATTGAAAAAATGCGTAATGAAATCTACGCGACGCTAGACCACAAATTGTCGACTGACGATGAACCGAAACACGACAAATGCCCGCGCGGAGAAGATTCATGGTGCTCATGGCAGAAGGCACAGGCTACTGGATCAGACCATACGCATAAACCACCTCTATCTCAAGAAGTTTACAAAGCGATTTCTCCAATTTATGATGAATTAAGCCGTGACGAACTGCTTTCTCGTTGCATCGGCAGCTTTACGCAAAATAGTAACGAGAGCTTCAACGCTACAGTCTGGTCAATGGCTCCGAAATCGACTTCAAGCGGCAAACACATTCTTGACACGGCAGTTTATATTAGTGTAGGCATATATAATATAATGACGGCCTATCAACTATCATGAGGCTCATGCAGAATTTGGATATGACAATTGGGCCGAACTGTTATAACTTCTGCGTGGAAACCGACGCGCGCCGCATCAGCTTTTCCGAGAGATCGCTTAGCGATGCCGCAAAAAGGGCTCGAATGTCCTTAAAAGCATCTAGGAAGGAAGAGGAGGAGGCGAACATCGACCTGGATGGCCAAATGTATGGTGCAGGCATCGCAGATTAGAGGTAAACAAAAATTTCAAGGATTAAAGTGTTCATAAAACTTTAAACGCGTTTTTCTCGAAACTACTTTTTTCAAACTGGGAGGACGGATTTCGCGGAGACTATTGCATGGATCGATTTGAAATTTTTACAGTAGCTTCACAACAATATTCTCTTTGGAAGTACGTAGCCGTTTTTTGATTGAATGTAAACTTTTTTTTAGAAACAATTTAATGCTCACTTTTAGGGCAAAAAATCGATTCATTTCTTACAAAGTGCACCATTTCCACAAAAATTGATTTTAAAAAAATCCCTACGTACTTCCAAAGCCAATTGTATATAGATTATAAATTTTTTTGTTTTTTGTTCCATGTTCCACTTATACATGCCGAGAAATCCGTCCTCCCGTGGCGGTGTTTTCAAAAAAGCTGTTTTCGACTACGGGCTCTGTCGCCGCCATTTTGTATGAAAATGACAATTAAAAAATTTTTTTTCGTACTTCAATATGTGTTAAATAAACTCTCTGATAAGAAATTCTATTCCGTTTGTCATACTCCCAAAATAAATTGTCAAATTTAGGTCTTTTTTTCAGCCTCTAGAGTGGTTTTACCCCTTAATTTGGAATTTGGAATTGATGCGCACACACACACATACACACAAATATACATGCACACGTATTCAGGATTACGATTTAACCTCAATTTTGAGGTTAAAGAAGCAATGGCCTACGTTCAGCAAATACACCGCTCACTGAGCGCTCAGTGAGCTCTCGCGCCTAATCGGAATACATTTTTGGATCTAAAAGAATATACTAATCTGTTAGAAACGACACATCGCGTCGCCAACATTGAGACTGATCGGGGCACAAAGGAGAAGGTCAGGTTCTACGACACGGCCGGGCTCGAGTCTCTGCAGAGCAATATAAACAATCAGCAGCTTCCGCGACACTATCTCGGCTTCGCCGACGACTACGTCCTGGTGTACGACACCGGCAAACCCGAATCTCTCGACGTGCTCTTCCCTCTTAAGAAGGACATCGACAAGAATAAGGATAAGAAGGAGATAACTGTGATTCTGATCGGTAGTCGGACAACGAAAACCGACGCCGCGTTGAATAACTTGGAGAACACTGTGAGCAAGGCGACCAACTGGTGCACCAGGGAGAAAGTTAAGCATTACGAGGTGAACATCTTGGATGGAGCCACTCTATTTGAGGCGTTTGTGCATTTGTTGTCCAAGCTTAATCCACCCGCTAATAAAAGTACTTTTCCGCAATTAAGGGGGTAGTACACTCTGGAAATTTCGAAAAAATCGATTTTTTTATTGCATATTTTGAAAGTGTTATTCTTTACGCGTATTTTGAGCCCTTGCCGATTGCAAAATTCCAAAAATTGACGAAGTTATAGCCATTGGAGCGAAGTAGTGTCGGCCGCTAAACCGGTCTGAGGCGCCGCCGCTCGATATTTACGAGAATTATACCTGCTGCAGACCCTTCTCTCGTTCGTATTGTATATTC